CTTCCAAATGTCTCCTGTTTTTTAGTCTGAGCCCAAATTTGAGCTGCGCTGTTCCAGTGACATCATCCACATCCGAACATGTTCAGACTCCTGTGCTGCTCTCATGAATCTCATCCAGTATGTGGCAAGCTACGGAGACCTGGTCCCTCCACCCGAACACGAGAGCAAACAAAGCTCCAAACAAAGCACTGCTCAAAAGGCAAAGGTTAGTCTTAGCTAACATAAAAGCTTTCAAAAGTAAAAGTAGATGTATTTAACACTAATTATTAAAGATCTTTTTTTTGTATTTGAACACTTTTTTTTTACTTGCCTTAACATTTTTATACAGGCTGAGTTTCCCTCACAAAGCTCTGTTCCAATGCCTTTGCTTGCTGACAATGAACAACAAATTCTCCAAGATCTAATGAGTGAAGCCATGGAAGAAACTGATAGCCAGCAGACACAAGCAGTTCAACAGAATGGTGAGTATTGATATCAAGACGCCATTAGCCAGGGTAGAGTATTCCCACTTTGCGAGTTCACAGACTCCATACCCATTTGAAGTTGATATTGTAAAAAAAACAAACAACAAATAGGACAAAATTAGACCTTATGAGCCACAGACGTATGTATACATAAATACGAGTTTTTTTTTTGGGGGGGGTGGGTGTTTGTTTTTTTAATTCAATCATATGAAAGTGTGTGTTTTTAATAATCATTGACTTATGCAACCCAGTAGAGTCTTTTCCTTAGGGCCTGTTTACATGAAAAACGCTTGCGGGTAAAAATGACAAAATATTTTATCGGAAGTGACATTTGTTTAGACGGTGACAGCGTTTTTTTGGGCTTACAAATGCAAAAATCTCAGACTGCCCTCCAGAATGAAAAAGCTGAATATGCTCTGCCGTAGCGTTTCCATCTACACTGCCCAAGATGCAAAACTCTGGTCAGATCTGCGCACGCCACGTACACGTTTACGTCACATACATCACCACCTAGTGTCACCACCGAGCCGCCTGGCGTGCATACCCAATCGAATTCCACACACTTTTGCGTCACTGTATGCACTCGTATGATTTCCTTCCGAAAAGGCTCATCTAAACACGGAATAAAAAGTGAAGATGCAACGCCACTGTTATGTCTTCTGTTCAAATCGTCATCATATAAACGTAGTCTTAGTATCAAAATCACGTTATAAATTTGTTTTCGGTGGGGAGCTGCCCCATATTGATAAACTCTAGAACTTATCTTAAGAGGCCTTCTTTTGTCAGTCTGCTTTCTGCCAGGTTACAACATTCATCTTAATTCTGTCATTCTTTGTCAGGCACACATGAGGAGAAGAGCTGCCAGCATGAAGCTCCCCAGTCCGACTTATTCCTATTCCCAGATGAGAGTGGATGTTCCAACCAGGATTCAAGTCCCACCTACCCCATGCTACATTCACCTCTTATTACCCCTGTTCCAAATCTGGCCCAGGAGACTGATGACTTTTGCATCCTGGACACCCCTGGTTCTAGAGGAGAGGTCCGTACTCTTTGTTGTGGCCAAAAATCATAATGAGTTGAAAATAACATGAGCTGTACTGGCTGTGTGTGGTGCACAGGATCGTGACCAGGAGCCAATAGTAAAGAAGCTTTCCTCAGAGCCTGTGGAAATCAAGGACGATCACTTCAGTCAGCCACTGGAGAGCAGTGCGAGTCGAGGAAGCTTGAATTTTCCCATACCAGAAGTGCGCTACCTAATCCGAGAGATCTCCATTGTATGGCATCTGTACGGTGGGAAAGACTTTGGAAATCCTGCTTTCCCAGCATCTCCTGTAAGAAGTCGCGGGTAAGCAAAAGAACTTCTGTTACTAATAAATGTACGTGTATGGTTTATGGTCCCATTATTGCTTTGTTTCTTTGGTTTGTTTCTAGTGCAACACCTCATTGTTCCCCATCCCAAACTCCTATACGGCAGCCAAAGTGTCCAGGAAAGACCGGAGGTGGTAAAGGGAGGAATCCAGATGTCCTGATGGAGATCCAGCTCAGCAAAGTATATTTTAAACTTTTTATGTGTCTTCAAATCATTCTTTGAAACCCACTATACTATAACTGTTTATTTATCAATATATCAGGTCAGATTTCAGCATGAGGTTTACCCACACTCCCAAGAGGCTCCTGGCACAGCATCAGACCAGCCAGTGTCTCGGCAAGTGTTCGCTGTTCAGGACTTGGAAATCCGAGACCGACTGGCCACCTCACAAATGAACAAGTTTCTGTATTTGTATTCGAGCAAAGAGATGCCCAGGAAAGCTCATTCTAATATGGTGAATACATTGACGTGCTTTCTGCTGCTCTAGTTTTAAAACCGTTGTCTCACTGTTCTGTTTTGTCTCCCAGTTGACTGTGAAGGCTCTCCACATGTGTCCAGAATCAGGTCAGGCCCCACAAGAATGCTGCCTGCGCGTTTCTCTAATGCCTCTACGTCTCAATATTGATCAGGTAAAAGCATGTGGGTGACTTAAATGTGCAAATACAGTTTACTAAATAATTTAAGTGTAACAATGCCATATTTGTTTCAAGGATGCACTGTTCTTCCTGAAAGACTTCTTCACTAGTCTTGCTGCAGAAGTCGAGTTTTTCTCTCCACCCGCCCAAGAAGGTAAATTTAGAGCTATTCATTCTGAACAAACCAACTTTTTGGCCAAAGGGTTTTAATAATATTTCCTTTTTAAAGCTCCCAGTATGTCTACAAAAGTATCTGCACCAGAGATCTCCTGCTCTTTCTCAAAGCATAGCGGTCAAGACCCTGCACCAATCATCTCTGTCCCTGCTCAGAGACGTTTGAGCCACAACGGTTTTTCTTTAGATGAGGCCAGTGAGAATGAGGGATCTGCACTTAACTTCACCGACCAGCCAATCTTCTTCAGGTATTCATTTAGTCAGCCACTGAGGAGTTTCTGCTTTTTCTTCTTATTTAAACTGTTTGCCTTTTTTCGCAGAGAGTTTCGATTTACCTCAGAAGTTCCCATTCGTCTGGATTACCACGGGAAGCATGTTGCGATGGAGCAGGTACACAACCTGTCAACCGTCTCTAGCCAAGTATGAATAAGGGTCATGAATATTTTTTCCATCATTTCAGGGAACATTTGCAGGAATCATTATTGGACTCACACAACTGAATTGCTCTGAATTAAAACTGAGGCGGCTTTGCTACAGACAAGGGTATTCTTTCTTATATGAATTTTAAACATATTGTAAAATGTCAACAAATATTATGATGCAGGATTCTTTTTCAGGTTATTGGGAGTGGATAAGCTTTTTTCTTATGCAATGAATGAGTGGCTAAATGACATAAAGAAGAACCAGCTCCCGGGCTTGCTGGGTGGTGTAGGACCGATACACTCTTTAGTACAGTTAGGTGAGTTTAACAGTACAACTTTATGTTCTTTTATTGAGATTTTATTTATCATAACATGGATGCCATACTAACAATTGTAATAATGTATTTTGTTTTGTGTTCAATCTAATGATGTTAAACCTTCTGCTTATATTTTAGTGCAGGGATTCAGGGATTTGGTGTGGCTTCCTATTGAACAGTACAGGAAGGATGGGCGAATAGTTCGTGGGTTCCAGCGAGGAACTGCTTCCTTTGGGACGTCCACTGCTATGGCTGCCCTGGAGCTCACCAATAGGATGGTGCGCACAATTCAGGTAATGCAAAAAAGTACTTTTAAAAGTAGAATTTCTCTGACAATATTGCTAATGATCTGACCTCTAATGTAGGCAGCAGCAGAGACGGCTTATGACCTTGTGTCTCCGGTACCTGATGAACGAGACACAAAGAAAATCAAACGGTTCTCCCATTACGGACTGGCCCATCAGCCAGTGGATCTGAGAGAAGGAGTAGCTAAAGCCTATACAGTAGTAAAGGAGGTATGTTCACATTAACTGCAATATGTAAATGAACAAAGTTATAATGCTTGTTGTGCTTATGTTTAGGGCATCACAGACACAGCCCTGACCATCTTTGACACTGCTACTCGAGAGCATGAGCAGCGCGGCATGACGGGGGCAGTGGGCGGAGTTCTGAGGCAGCTGCCTCCAGCTGTGGTCAAGCCTCTTATTATGGCTACTGAAGCCACTTCTAATGTCCTGGATGGGATGAGAAACCAAATTCACCCAGATGCCCGCCAAGAGGAATCACAGAAGTGGAGACAGGGAGAAGAGTAAATGGATTTGCCATTACAGATATAGCAACTGGTCAAGTGGGATTTGTTTTACATTAAAATTACATCTACGATGGTGTACATAAGATATAGTTCATCTTGTCGCACTTTTGTACATTGTAATATATTGTAATGCTTGCTTTATTGTCCCATCACAGTGCCTTCATGTTATCAGAATTGTTCAAATGTAAATGAATGATCCTAAAATGTATGAATATTTCCATGCAGCACAACTGCTTGAAACTGGAATAGTCTTTTTTTGTAGCCTACTGGTATTGAAATTGTGTTGACAGAAGCCACTTTGTTGTTTTGCCTCTCTTTTGAGCAACAGTGTGTTTATTTCTTATAGGGTTACCTCTAATACTTGTGTTGTGATTACTTCAATAGTGAACTATATGTCATAATGTGTAGACTAAGTCCTCAGTAAGTATGTAAAAGGATGTACAGTGATTCAACCGTTTTCTAGTGAAACAATGAAAATATTCCTGCAACATTTCCAACCATTGTTTTAGGTTCTACTAGTTGTTTAATCAATGCTGCTATTTTTTTTTTATTTTATTTTTTTTTTATTTATGGTTATATTTCTAATTGTCTTTGTTTTAAGTCTTAAATAGTAGACCATTGTGATATGAAGTGTCATCTTATTTTCTTTTTAATTTATGTACAAGAACTATTCTTTGACCGTACTGCACATTAACTTATGACTTCGTATTGAAAGCATGAAAGGGAAATAAAAGAACATTTGCGGAAGTTGTCTGTGTTGTCATGACAACGGAGTCAGGCTAACTTTTTACATCTTTTTACAACATTGCTTTGGGACATGTCTGACTTGACCAAAAATCTTAATAGTCTTGGCTTTGAGAGCAGGTTGTGTGAAGGCGAGAGAGAATTAATTCATCTCCGTGCGCTCTTTTGCGTTCACATTCTGCGGATGCGCACACGCTGTTTTTCTTCTGCAACTTCTGCACTCAGGTAGGCTAGGGTTATTTTAATAGATCCATGTTCGTGTAAGGTGGAGCTCATAACTGACGTAAACTATGCGACCATTTCAGAGATGCAGCTCAAAATCACTGTGCAAACACAAGCAGCTTGTTATCAGGGGAGCTGCGTGTGGGGATAGTAGGGATGGTCACCTGGGAAAACAGTTGCTCCTTTCTATTCTGGACAAGACAAAAATCACAGAATCTAACATTAAGGTGTCTATTAGAAGACCAGAGTTTACAGGTAATAATGTAGTAACCTCTCTGCACTCACAAACTAACAATATGTATAATAAAAGATGGCTGGCTCTCTGTTTAGCATTTGTCTATAATTTCAGAGCATGTTGCACCGGGGGTCAAATGTTTCTTTGACAATGGCCGCATGGCGCTGTGGGCACATGTCTTGTTCTTGTGCTGCCTGCCCTCTCAGCTGCCCAGAGTGTGTGCAGACCTGAGCCCCCACCAGTGCACTCACACACTTGCGTACTGTTTCTCCTCTGCTGTTCCTATCTCCACGTAGTCTGCAGCTCTCACTTGCTTTTGTTCTGATCCAACACTGTTCAACACACTTATTTTTCTTTTTAGATTAGTTCAGCTTCTGGGACATAACTTTGTTCTGAAGTCACAGCATAATATAGCTGCCTGTGACATTCCAGCTGTGTGGATGACTTACACTCATCTGAAGAGCGCTTTAAAAGACCCATTACTCATAAAATGGTCCTGTCCACTGAACAGAAGTCAGAGCCCATCTCTTGGTTTGAAGTGGGTGTGTGCCGTGCTGTATTGCCTGGTGAATATTTGCACATGTGTTCATTTGGAGTATGAAAAAACTCTATATGTGATAAACCACCTTTTTCAAGACAAACTGTCCTTGGGTGCAAATAATGTCTCTCCTGCTTCTGGCCTATCTGCAGATGAGTAAGTGTAATGTTCTACAAGTCTAATTTCGTTAGTAACAGGTGTGTTATTTGCATTTTTTTCTCTCTCTCTCTCTTCAAAGGGCTTTTCCATGGATCGCTCTCAATGATGCTCTGACAAATAATACTCCATTTTACTGCTTTTTTGTGAACAGTAAATCCACACAGGAATATATTTGTACACTGTATACTGCACTCCTGGAGCCATCATCTCATTAAGACTAAACGCTGTTCACTGCAATGGTCAGCAGTTGTGTCTGTATATTCGTAATAAATACATTTTTAAAAAGTCCACATGTCGTGTTCAAATTTCAATTGTCCTAATGTGGATATTTTTTCTGTATTTAACTTTCATATTTTAATTATCTATATTTTTTTTTTTTAAATTGATATTATTTTATGTTTTCCCTGCACGGAAATATGTCCCTATAAGGAAATGATCGCTCCGCAGGGTCTTAAGATTCGTGCATTTTCGTCAACACTCGACAAAATACGGAAGTATGAAAAATGCAGTTTTCCCCTTCCTGTGAACCACCAGGCTGCCCGAGGAATTTGTCACGGGACTGCAGCGATGGAAGTCTGTTTGTAGATGTCCCTCTTCGAAAGTGGATATCTGAGGGCTTTTGCATCACTGGTGGGCATAATGTGGTGGTAAG